TCTAGTCGTCTTAGTAATTACAACCTCGAAAAAATCCAATTGATCCAATGATTGGAGATTGTCATGAATGTCGTTGAGACCTTCTTGCGCTGAATAAGGCAAGCTGATTAATAATGAAATAATGTAAAAACACATTTTTTACTCACATGTGTCCCAAAATTTCCATAAAATTGGTTTGACAATGATGATGGCAACCGGAAGAGATGTTAGCGCATTTGTCTACAAATGTAAAACAAAATTTTAAATGAAATTAATTAAGGAAAAACTATTGATCCTTTTTTTACTAGGGGAAAATCATCCAATGACTTCTCTCACCCAGGGTGAGGTGAGAGGGAGCGACATACTCTTCTGACTCAAAACCACCCTTTTCTTTCTCCACTATCTTTGTCTCTGTTCTTGGCCGAAGCTGCGGTACCTTTTACGCTTGTCCCGCAACCGCTGAACTTTTTGTTAGGCCCAATCAACGGAGGGCTGTTGGCCATTTGAGAAAATGAAAAAGCCCAATGTTTCGCTATCGGAGGGGCGTATTTAAAAGAAGCCTGACAAAAAACTTATTTGTATTTTTAAACCAAAATTGCAGATGACACAATCTAAGTTATAGTCAAAATGTTAAATTGACGTCAGTAATCCAAAGGTGTGTTAGTAAACAGAGCCGTGTGCCAGACGTTTTTCTGTTTACAATACTATATAAGGCGATAACTTAGTTAGATAACTGTTCGCACTTCATGTATGAGTGTATGTATGTGTGCAAACAGCGAAAGTACAGCGGATTCGACTCACGGAACCATTGGTACGTATTTACGTCATATCCGATCCTCTTGCGTACGCGGCCTTATTTAGTGATGTATTATTCCATAGATACGACTATCGGTATGTATTTTACATTCATAGACGATAGTGAGGTGGGTTCATACTTTTTAAATTACGAATTGGCATTGCCAATGGCTCCTTGATTCACTCGTGTGGAATGCTGTTATGAACGGAACGAAATTCTTATTAAAAACATTATAATATTTCTTATTGATAAAAACAAAAACATTCACTGGAAGTATGTAATAAAAATTGCGACACTTACTTATAATTTATGGTTTTCTATCTTCAATTTTGCCAGCTGTGTAACAAACATCAAAACATTCTTATTCATCCACGTGGACTAAATTATAGTTTCCGGCAACAAACTGAAGATCGACATGGGATAACGCGTGCCAAATAAGAGAGCACAGAGTCACCAGTTTGTTTATCAGAAAATTAAATTATATTTTGTTAGTTCACGCGATGACAATATGGCCGGCGCGTGCCGAGATCTCTTTTCATTTTAATATCTGTTTTAAATATATTATGTGCAAATGTGAGTCACTCGAGCGCATTTTTGCCATATTTACTAAGACCAACGATTCCGAACTCATGAATCAATAGGATTTCAATCTCGCCACATTTTGCCAAATATTTACTATAGATAGGCGGCGGTGTAAATTTATAAGCAAATAAGGACTTTGTGGTTAGTTTTTAAGCAATATAATGTAACATTGGTGTAATATAGATAAATAATAATTATCTAAACATTTTACCTTCCTACACTTCCGTAAACACTGGAACGGAAACAAAAGAGGAATATTTTCCCCAATTACCAAATCAAATATCTATTCTCATTGATAAGTTCAATGTTCGATATCGAACGTTAGCGCCTCGATAACAACCTCACTCAAGGTCCTCATTCATTGAGCGATACGTCAAGTTCATTGATGATTTACTAATACGTTTGTGTGAGTGTTGTACGCACACCGTGCAATGTACGTGCTACGACGCGAACACGCGATTGTGCGCGTGTGTGCGATAGTTACATCGACGTTGCGTATGCGTGCGTCAGTTCTTATATTAATTTCTAGCGTCGCGCCGCGGTGTGCGTGTACGCATGCCTGTTGGTGACAGGACGCTCAACAATAGCCGGAATAGGAAGCGACAACGGCAAAATGGGCGTGCAGACTGAGTCCCCAGACAAGATCCGTAAGCAGGTTCTTGCCACTGGACTCACTTTTTGTTGATTAATTCGTTAATTGAATAAGAACAATGAGAAGTCAAAAAAACGGCTTTACGCATAAAGCACATTGTGCTCTGATTGCTTAAAGAGTTTTAAGTCATCGGAAATCCTGGTTCATACTAGTTCATCACGCGTTCGGGAACTGATCGGGTCTAACGACAAAGCCTAATGATCGATTGTTTCTGATTTTCTTATTTGCATCGAGTTTAAATGTATTGCCGGATGCTTAGGTACCTACTAAGGTAATTTAAAATGTATAGTTAGTTAGCAATATCTACAACCTACACGTTGATAAACAGTGTACGCGTTGTAAATAAGTAGTAACTCCACGCGTATTTTACAATCACCGATCGTAATGAATTTGTCTCACAAATACCTTATCCTATTACATCAATAAAAGCGGTAAAAAACTATGCAACGTAAACAACATCCTAGACGAAATTTTAAATAAACCAATAGTGTAACAATAAAAACATATAAAGTATATTATTATAATATCTATAGACTCTCTAGTTCCGTTTGCATGAACTTGGACAGTCGGTCAGAGCGTTTTTGTGATATTTCAATTTATAATTAGCTGCGCCTGCGGCCACGTTTTTACAGCCTGATTTACTTATCGATCTATATTCCTTACGTCACTTCAAATCAATAATGGGAGTAGATATATTAGTTTTATTTTATTAGGAGTTATTGAAGACTGGGTTTTGGACCACATGAGTTACAAACAGTATTGTTTGGTACTAGATGAGCTTTGTTTCAATGCTTAGGTGGGTATAATGTAATTGATATTTTAGTCCAAACACTGTTCCTATTGTTCCCTATAACTATAGGTATTTACGGTTTTATAATGTAGCTTTCTATTAATATAGGTATGTTGAAGGAGCGATAGCTTCCATTTTAAATGACCAATTTAAAAACTCAGTAGTTATAATTTAAATGGGAAACTATGTTTGTTTGTGTACAAGATATTTTGTGACTCTATTTTCGTGTCTGGAGAAATTAAGAGCTGAAGGCAATTTTTCCTTTAGACTATGCTGGTGAAGGTACGAAGCACCAAAAAGTCTAATCTAAAAATAAAGTGAAATAGATACACCTACATAAATTAATTACAACTTTCTTTGTTCATCGCATCAACGCGTGAACAACATCGTGGCTGGACCGAGTGTGATGTTTATTTTATTGATATGTTTGTTATTTTAGGTAAATATTCTTATGAAACAATATTGTAGACAGCTTTACTAGAAGATTGGGTCATAGCAACCCTTTCGGCGCCGTGGCGGCTCGCTTACAAAACAAATGACTGACAAGTTATATTTTATTGTTATAATTTTATTATTTTTTTAATTTTATTTTATTACAATTTTATTAAAAATAAAAAGAAGTAAATTAATTTTACTAGCCTGCCCGCAAAATTAAACTTCCAATATTTTTATTACACGAAATTCTTGCTTTATCCTACAATGGTGAAGCTAGAATACCATTAAAATAGCCTACAGTTTAGCTGCTAACATTAAATGCTGGCCACCTTTGAATTCCAATAAAACTACATTCTGCCAGTACCTACATGAATTAGGCCGTCTTCTACTAATTTGGCTGCTATTTTACAAAAACAATATCAGGTATCAAATATTTTGAAAACAAACGATGACGTATGTAGATAAAGTCCGTACCATGCCGGGACAACAATATTTTAGCAAACATCTGGATTCAGAAACAGAACACTGATATCGTTGTTTTGCATAATAACACGTGTCTTTTGTATATTATTTAAAAACCCAATTAATTTATAATAGTATTAAAAATATGATAGGAGTATTTGTGGAAGGCAAAAACTACTAGGGAAGAGTTTTTTGCAGGGTTTACTTATATTTTTCTGATCTTGACGAAATGCATTGTATTGTCAGTCAATTACTTATTAATGAAATTCCAATTTGATTTTTGAATAATGTTAAGTGATAAACAAGAAAATCATGCCATAATAAAATTTACTTATGTTTTTTGTTGTCAGCTCATGTCTTGTTTTGCCTTGAAATGTTACGTATCTATAGAATTAAAACGTTTTAAATATTTATAATTTAAAATAACAGTTATATTTATTAGTTTATTTAAAACAATAACTCATGAGTAAGGGTCCCGTTGCAACTTGAAACTAGTAGAGCGTAAGAAGTAGGTACTTATAGTAGTAAGACCGTAAGTTAGGTATATTATTTTTTTTTAATTAAAAATATTATTTATACATAGCTATCATATCTATGTTTTTGTAACGAGGCGTATACTGAGACTTCTTTGGGGTAGAAGGGAAAAACAAAATCCTCGACTGACAAAGAAAACATCAAATAACTTCTCCCGCCCTGTAACAGGGGCGAGAAAGAGTTTAGGACGCTTACTGACAAAAATCAACCCGTTCTTTCTCCTGCTTCAAGCCACGGTACTATAAATATTGTGCTTGCGCGTATATTTACAAATACTATGTATAAACTTTAATTTGCCGAAAAAACTAATATTATTTTTACTTATTTCTTTAATGGCTCGTCTTAACAATTATTTGTTATGACCTTCTCTTGTTCCTCATGATCGTGTCTGCAATATGACAGGTTGTAATTTCGATATTACTGGCTAATACTACATGAACCCCAGCGTGTATAATTGACGAAATTTATACTACCTTGCTGCACATACTCATAAGGCACAATATCCCGAAATTTCTATGATGAGAGCAATTTGGCCAGAGATCTTAGTATGGTGGTTGTATGTTCAAAAAGATCTAGGTCACGAAAACCATTGCTTGCAGCCCCCAGGCCTAAACATCGGACCTAAATACTAAATTATCGTCAAATGCAGACTAATCATTAGTTAAGGATGCAAAAAATTATTTAAAATATAAAATTGACTTTAGATTTTAAATGCGGCACTGTCTTTTGTAGTCATGAGTATTTCGTTAATATTTTTGTTCTTATTTCAGGTTGGAAACCGCTTCTAAGGCGCCGTAATCTAAAGGTAAGAAGATTTTTTCTTTATATTTTTATTTTTGTCTGGTACTCCAAAAGTGACGTCTTCAGTTTGTTTCTTAATTTTGGAGTAATAAAATCATTTTAAATAAATATACGGACTAAAATTAATAGAAGTTAGGTATTTAAATGTCATTTAGATTTGCAATAATAAATAATGTAAAATTTTATAAAGCAAAATTCAGTTTTTCGGAAAATCTCATAATGTTTTTCTAATTCATAAGCGTGCAAAAAGTTTTCATATGCCAGGAATATATTTTTGAAACATGCTACCTTTTTCGTGACTTTTTTATTTTTAAATTTGATCGTCGTATCGACCATCTAGATGGTCTATGGGCACCAATCTATTTGACAGAACACGCTGACTTTAATATTGCGTTCACATCACTTTATGTAAATGTGAAATTTCGTATTTGATTTTTTAATATTTTTCGTGAATCTATTTTTGAAGAAATTATTTATTTATGTGAGGTCATGGTAAAATATCATGTGTTATAAATTGTTATTGGAACAAGTGGACATCGGATCTTTGGTTAGGTGCACCGAGAGGATCGTTGTGTTGTCATCATGTTGAACGAATGGTTTCAGCGAAGAATAAAAGAAGTTTACATAGAGAATTTTCAGGTATATTTTTCCTTAATATTTAAAATATTTCTTTATTAAATAAAGCAAAAGCTAGTCATAGATTATTTTGACCTGCTAACATCTTAGAGTATCACTGTCGCCGGTTTTTCGTATACAGTTTATCACAAACTTTTTATTAACTATCAGATGTTTTTAGTAATGAAAGAGCTTTCCCAAAGTATTGTGACTACTGAGAAATTAATTAAATTGGTTATGATCCCTGATTTGTGTTGAAAATAATCAAGTAATGGTATCGTACTTTTTCAATTTCAGTCATTTAAACACATACTGAAATTTTTGACTAATTAGATAACTTATTATGTACCTAAGCAATAAATAATTAAGTCATTATTTCTTATAAGACAAAAAAATATGAGATTAAAAAATTATGTCAATGAGATACTAATATAATAGTTAGAACTAAAACAATCACGCTTGCTTCATTTTATTACAAGAAATATATGCCAATTTCATTGTAACAAGAGCTATTAAAATAGGTCACAAAACATTTTGACGGCACAGTTTCACAAAGTTATTTAATTAAGTACTAATTAATAACATGACGATTCAGTTCTTCAGCCGGTCCGGTTATTTTCCCGGCTCCGTACCGTTACACTAATGACACCACACATGTCGACAAGCGACGGCAACCGATGGGTATTTTCACACAGCCCAACCATCCAATCGCACAGATTAGTTTAAAAAGAGAGACTTAATAATTATAAAATTGTAAACGTAACCAAACTACACCCAATTTTTAATAGAAAGACATTTAAGTTTCGAAAATTATTTTCAAAATTCCTATGATTTATTTTTATGGAAATGGGTATGAAAAATTCGCTGCTGAAATCACAAAAGATTGCATTAAATGTATATTTTCATTTGCATGAAACATAGTTGCAGCAGTTTTACTTAGATAAAACGTAAAATTAATAATATTTAACGATAATAATCTTCATTTTTGAGTCTTGTTAATTAAATCTATACAATAAGTTAATAAATGAACTCATTATTATCTCGAATGTACATATAACAATAGTCAATACAGCAACGAACACTTATTGACTATTCTGCTCCTATGAATATTAATACTAAGTGCACATTTCCTCGAATGCTGGTTACCAACGGAACTCGATTTGTTTGCTTAGGCTTAAAAATTAGGTGATTTGCATCATGTTTTCCGTTGAGAGGATGAAACGATGTTTCTTAACAGTTTCCTGTGCCTAAGTATCAAATAAATTGGTTTGTGTGTGATATCATAATAATTTAAAGCTTAAATACATTTCAAATTGGGTTTATTATTGATTAAAAGTTATGTGGTTTGTTTTGTTAAATAAATTTAATAAATAAATATGACTCTCTAGATTTTCATTAATCTGTAAAGACAGTAAAAAGAGGATCACTTCCCACTCCAGTTTTTACTACCATAATGACCTTCGATTTTAATTGTCCTGTTAATTACGACATAATTTGACGATGGTAAAGTAATGTTTTAATTGTACAGCCTTCTCTTTATATTTTCTTGCCAATTAGGATTTAATTATTATATCATCTGAGCTTATACAGTTAGTGAAATGGCAGCGATATACTGTGACTGCAAATAAATCATTTAAAAAGTAAAGGAATAGCGTGTCATTGGCAGTATGGCGCTTATCTGCGTTGATCGCGTGCATCTTGGGAACAAAGGTTCCCGAGAGTGTATTGTTTTCGCACAGTTGAAAATGTTAAATTCGAAAATGGATGGCAAAAAGAGTGGAGAAGGGCCAACCGCGGCGGCGTGCCCACCCAGTCGGTCGTCGGTACCGGCTTGCAACGTCGCTCCATCGCGGTCGTTGGCGAATACCGCCAATTCCTCCGCCATTCCTCTCCCTAGCCCACAAGGCTTATAATCGCTGCAGACCCTTTTCGAATTAACACTTTATTCCTCCAGATTTTAAATACAAATTCCTTTGTGCAAATTTCAGCTAATTTTCCGACAGAGATAATGATTAAATTGTTTCGGCATGTCAAATCAAACGAAATTATGCTGTTATATCTTGTTTAATAGCGGTACGCTTATGTTTGTGTCGTACATACCTACGTGGATACCCCAAGTGAGATTTCTCCTTTAATTAATTCTTTAAGAATATTTTACGATATACGAAAATTTTTATTTTTGTTACAACTTTAAACGGTACTTTACTTTACTTTTATAATGTTAAAAAGGAACCTTAGTTTGTACCGGCTAACAAGACAACACTCCCTGAACTAATTACACTTTTTGAAACAATAATTTTAAGAAATCAAAAATATTAATAATTAACGCGAAACCATTTAAAGTTGTCTAATGTCTCATTAATATTATTTTTTCATTTTCCAAACATTAGATCGTCCGATCACCTCATAACTTGTAGAGTTTTATCTTACACGTACAACATGCCACATCTGAGCAATCTATGTCATTAGGTGAATACCACTCCAAGGTCGCTCATGAGAGTACGTGCCGTTTAGAAGGTTCTCCAAAATACTCTTGACTCATTCATAGCATGGTCCAAATTATAGATCACAAACCTTAGAGTTCAATGAACTCGTGTTGCAAATGTGACTAATGAAAGGTACGCATGTCGCAGGTACAATTATCAGTAAATCTGATGGCGTGATTAATTTAGAGTAACAGCACTTTTTGTCAAAGGAGGCGTACGTGCACATTTTTGCGTATGTACGTAACTACATGGATAATTACTGGAATAGAATGAGAGCCTAGGCGTTACGATCATGATATATGAGTAGCGTTATGTCTGTTGACGAATATGCAAAAACAAATAGATAATCGCTCGGTGTTACGATATCTGAATTTACCACTTATAATAATCGATAAAAACATCATTTATTAAGATGACCCTACACTTACCTAATACGGCAAAAAAATATTATACAACATTCGATTTCATAATAAACTCATCTAATTATGTATCATTCAAACTACATTTATTAAGGATTTTCCTCAAACAACAATCACAGTTAACCTGTATGTAATGCTATTAAAAGACCAAAGACGAAAACGAATCACTAATGAGCTACCGATAAAAAAGTACTTCGGAAAATACTCATACTTGAATTCTTCGTCGTATCATGGTCTCAAGAAGTTACTGTTAAATGAGGCGAGGGAGTGATTATAAAGGAGTTCCATATAAATCTAACGTAATAACAATTACCTCATAGCCATGACCGTGACGTTTCTTAACATTGCCGAAGTAGGGAAACACCGGTTTATATCCTGCATTATCATAAAAGATGACTAATATAAAGCGTTGCTTGAAAAGTTTTAAACACACGACCTCTAAATTGAGCAATACCCAGCCTCCATTTGACGTCACAGTTAGCAATAAAGTCAATACACACAAGCGTGGTTTTCGTCGTTTCTTTTGCTATACATTGCTACTTGAGAGTATACTTTTTGTTGTTAAGAGCGGGTTTGTCGCGTAATGTATTGGAAGGCTGTCGATACGGTCGATGGATTGTGTTGCACCGGTACGTGACACACCGGGCGTAGTAGCAGGTTTATGTTATAATAGTTCATTGAGATGCGGATTCCGGTCGCTGAGTCATTTACTTGACCTCATATCGATAGTTATTTATTTATTTTCACCTCGAAGTTTGAGTTATTGCAACTGATTGTGCATGTTTTTTTGTAATAGAATGTAATAGCGGGTTAAAAATATAAAGCATATTTTTCATATTATGTTTTTATTAAAGCTCAGGTTGTACATACTTTATGTACTATTAATATTGTATTTTCACATTAAAAATATGATAAGTAATAAATTGTATTTTAAAGTTACTTCAAGAACTTAGAAAGTAGTTTTGATTACAACATCAAATAAAGTAACGTCGCATATATATATAGATCTTTTTATTAATTAGAGGGTAATTATGATACAATACAAGTAAAACCCAATGTACAACTCAACACTAATCCGGTTTGTGTAATCGAAGTATAAATAGTCGAATAACGTGCGTACTATGAGCGTGAAGTGACCGAGGTGAATGAAGCTTGCATAATTGTGACGTCCGTCCCAATTTACTCAGTTCCTTAATCCGCGATACTTTTATTTCACAAGTTCATTATCACTTACAAGTTACACCACGTCATGAAATACATTTACTCACAAAAAATGTCCGAAAAGTGATTTTGCAATTTGAAGAGTCACTATAATTTCTCCGATTGCCACAACTCGACTAAAGTTAAGGCGCAACTTATTGCAATCAATGTAAGGCGTGCCCGACAACCTTGAAATCGCCACTCAACCTTAACCATGACATCCATCGCCACATGTCTTAACAAGTTTGACATCTTAACTTGAGTAAATTTTTTTCCTCTGCCTT